GTGCCTCATATATTCAGGGATTATCATTGTAGTTTCAGTCTCGTTACAAAGTTTGCTTTGATCAGTTTTATTTGCCATAATTTATTCAATTGGCAATCTACCTCTTTATATGTGTATATGTATATATATATATATATATATATATATATATATATATATATATATATATATATATATATATATATATATATATATACACATATATATGTGTATACTTACAAGTGTGTGTTTGTATATGTACACACACACGCTATATATATATATATATATATATATATATATATATATATATATATATATATGTGTGTGTGTGTGTGTGTGTGTGTGTGTGTGTGTGTGTGTGTGTGTGTGTGTGTGTGTGTGTGTGTGTGTGTGTGTGTGTGTGTGTATGTGTATAATATATATATATATATATATATATATATATATATATATATATATATATATATATATATATATATATATATGAACAAAAAGACAAACACAGTAATGTGTACTCAAAGATGAAAAGAAAAAATGGCCACAATTAAAAAAAATGAAACAACGTGACGTTTCAAACTCTTTACGAGTTCCTCTTCAGACGAAAAATCTATATCTATTTCGGTTAATTTTCTTCTGAGGAGGAACTCGTGAAGAGTTAGAAACGCCTCGTTACTGTTTCATTTCTTATTATAGCTGTTTTTCTTATATATATATATATATATATATATATATATATATATATATATATATATATATATATATATATATATATATTCATATATTTGTGTGGATATCCCTGGAGTTCTAAACACTTATCCTTATTTTCATTTATTAAAAATATTCTGCTATATCAACATTAGTGATTCTGCCATTAGTGGCATATACAAAATATAGCAATAGGGTAAGGTATGGGGGTATTTTTTTTTTAGTAAGGCAATGTTTGTGGATTTCCAGCATGGCAATGGTCAAAACAAACAAATGTCAAGTATTGTGGCAAAAAGGGTAAATATGAGTTAGTGATTAGTGAAAAAAACCTGCAAAATTAGTTGATGCAAGGGCTGAGGTCCAAGGCAGGGGTGGTCCCTTGCATTCAGTCCCGTCCCCTGTGCCAACCACAGCGAGCGAGGTGTTGGGGGGGGGGGGTCCTTTATATTACTACATTTTAAGAAGGCATGAATATTAAGTCAACTTATAAAAAATCCCCTGATTGAGATATTGTCAATCAGGGGATGGAAGTGATGAGCTTAGAGAGCTGGAGAGCTCACTTATTTTATTCGTTAGAGCCACTATGAACATTAAAATGGGTCTGTTCTTTAGAACTGTGACTGTCAGAGCTATGGGATGTGATATTTATTATTTATTTTTTTTCTGCCGCTTCAATATCTAAGGTCATTAACGGCGTATATAAAACATAGCATCGGGGCAAACAAACAAATGTACCAGGAATCAAAGGTTACACAACATTATGGTAAAGTATTGTGGAGAAAAGGGTAAATATGAGTTAGTGATTTGGATAAGTGGACAGAAGGGGATGAAGAAAAGAAGGAAAAGGAAAGAGGGAGGAGAGACCCTGCAAAATTAGTTGTGGCGAGGGCTGAGGTTCAAGGCAGGGGTGATCCCTACATTGGGCCTCACGCTCTGCCTCCTAAACTCCCCTCAGCAACGAGCAAGGGATTGAGGGGGGGGGGGGAGAAGTGATAAGATTGTTGAAGTTGTAAAACATGCCAGTATTACCTGCTTTGTTATTTCGCCCTGAAAATTTATTGAAATTAGTGTCTTGAAGGCCATTCTGCTTTCAGTACATTTAGAAAACTACATATCCTAGAAATAGTTTGCCGCAGCCTGTGCACTATAAAGTGCAATAGATATTGCAATTATAATGCTAAATACTATGATGCAGCACATTAAATCTTCATATCATTCCTCAATCAACAGTCATCACTATTTTCTTTTTCTTCCATTATCATGGTTCTTGCTTTTATAATGCATAATGTATGTTCCCTTATCCTACCACAGTATCTTCAGCTACATTAGCTGAAATGGGAATAGAACAACTATTGCAATGGCACATTTTTTGCTATTGTTTTTCAATTGAAAAATATCTAACACATCAACATCTAAGATTTATTAGCAGCACATTCAGAGTATAGTGATAGGGGTGAAGCTCCCAAATATGAAAGTTTTTTGGCTCAATAACGCAATGTTTGATCAAAACAAATAAGATGTGCCAGATTTTAAGTTATATTGTATTATGATAAAGTATTGTGGCAAAAAGATTAAAAATGAGTCAACATACAGAATAAGGGAATGAAGATGAGAAGGAAAAGGAAAGGAGAAGAAAAGACCATGCAAAATTAGTTGAGGCAAGGGTTGAAGACCACAATAGGGGTGATCCACTACAATGGGGCTTAGTCCCCATCTCCTATGCCCCCCACAATAACAATGAGCAAGGGATTGGGGGACTTTTTTTTCTAATTACAAGAGATCAATGATCGTAGCATGTGACTTAAGGAATATTTTTTTTTTATTGAAAAATTTCTGTCACATCAAAACCCTCAGGTAAAGTTTTTTGCTCTGTGGATTTCCAGAATGGTCTATGGTAAAAACAAGCATTTGTACCAGGTATCTAAGGTTACACAGCATTATGGTAAAGTATTGTGGAGAAAAGGGTAAATATGAGTTAACAATTTGGGTAAGTGGACTAAAAAGGGGATGAAGAGAAGGAAAAGGAAAGAGAAAAAAAGACCTTGCAAAATTAGTAGAGGCAAGGGCTGAGGCTCAAGGCAGGGTGATCCCTACATTGGGCCAGTCTCTGCTTCCTAGGCCCCCCATGCCAACAAGAACCAAGGGATTCAGGGGTACCTTAAGGTTTGTCCATATCAAATGGCATGACAGTGAATACACAGCTGGCCACAAGTAGAGATGTCTCAGGTGGACAAACTACTTTGGCAAACAGTTGTTTCCTCATTGTTTTCTTGTAATGTCACTTATACAGGTGCCTGCCAGTGTGTCAATGTGGACAGGCCTTTGGTGTTCCTTATTTTACTAATTCCTATAATATCTCATTGATTTAGATTTCTATGGCAGTCTGAGAAACAGCATTTCTTAAAAAAAAAGAAAAAAAGTGCAAGGCTTATTGCCTTGGACGAGGCTTAACCCAATGCTGATGAGCATGACGTGTATATATGTGCCATGACCACTGACTGTTACTTGTTTGGTGATTTTCACACATCGATGGCTACACTTGTACTAAATCACCAATGAGCCAGTTACGAGTACTGCCTGTCTCTGTCTTCTTTGATTTACAAAAATATTTTGTTAGCTTATTATGCTGTTACTAATGTTTATATCATTATAGTAATTATAATTATAATAAAAACACCAATATTCATAGCACTGGTAAAAAATACATTTATCTCACCAATTCAAATCTGGTAAGGTCACAAGGTCTATTAATTGACTCATTTGTGGCTAAGCAATAGTAGAGCCATCTATGTGCAGATACATTTTACAAAAAATAAAAGAAATGAGCATAGCATTTTCCCCATTTTTTATTAATTTTCCCTGGTGGCATTGGGTTAACATTGTGTACATTAAGGTTATGGGCATATAGCCTATTAGCTATAACCAAAATTTGGAATATGGTTGATGAAAGGAGG